AGACAGAGGTATTCTGAGCACAACTAATGGTAATTGTTTTCTTCAAAGGCAGCTCCAGTTATGGATCCTTCACCTAGAAAGAGGAAGTTCCAAACTGACCGGAATATAAAAATAATTTAGATGAAAACAAACGTCAAGCAACTAGGTCAGCCTTCCTTAAAAGCAAAGACTTGTTTCCACTTATGCACTCTGTGAACACCACAGATCCAGGGGGGATGGCTGAGGTCTCTTTCAAACAAAACCACTTCCAGCAACATTTGATTTCTCTTCCATGAAACCCGTGCACCAAACCACCCAATCACCAGCATCTAGAACAGTTTTAATTATTGGACAAGTATATGAAAACACACTGAAAGCATATCATCAATGAAGAACTACCTGGTTGTAAACTGCACAATTGGAAGCTAAATGGCACTAATTTATTACTGGTAGACCAAGAATTCGAAGGCCCCACTTTGTTTTTAAAATATCACAAGTCATCTGATAAGTCATATTAACAGAAGTCATTAAAATTGCATGCTCAGAATTTTATTTGTCAGAGTATCCTTTTACAAGAAGAGTGCAAGAATCTCCAATTATCAAGTTTAAAGACAACCAGCAGCATTTGATACCCCTAAGATTACGATTAACCTACATTATTTCTTACATTTATCTCACAGCAACCCATAGTAACCGTTCATTACCCTCTTATCACTTTTAAGAACTGACAATCAATAACAGTGTATCAGTACTTTAAATATTCCTATCTGTTTTCTTTTTGAAAATCACAAGCGTATGAAGAAGCAGCAGTCCTTAATTCCAGTCACATTTTAAGGCTGTGCACAGCTAGAGATAGTGTAAGCCACAGGATCTCTGCTCTCACCATCAGTTATGACCCTTGCAAGTCATTATTGGCTAAATACTTGCATCTGAATTGAAGCATGGAATCCAAATTTATATTTTGTAATTTTAACACATGAAAAAATATGTAAAGAATGGAACATCCTGTATAAGAAACTGAAAAAAAAATTTGCTGTATATGCACATGGTTCGGTTGGGTTTTTTTGCTTGTTTCTTTTTTTCTCCTTACAGCAAGGAGGATCTCAAATGCATTTTGAGAAATCTCAAGAATTTAAAGTTTTAAATTAGAGTAAAACCTTTATATAAACCACTTACAACTGGAGGTAATCTTTAGAATGTTAAGCACCTAATATGTACCATTCATCTTTATGAATCAGCATGAAATTATTCTGTATGATTGTATTTCCATGAACAAGAAGAAAATGAAATTAAGGCTCACAGCCATCACAATTACATCAAGTTCTCAGCCTGACTTGGAAATGTTCTCTTTCACCACTGGGATCTACGTGAAATCCAATTTCTGTGCAGTTCTTTGCATTTATCACCCTGGCACTCTGCAAAGCAGTGTTACTACTGTGATGCAGGGAAAAAAGATGAAGCGCAAAAAAACCTTAAAACTTTCTCCAAAGTTATGAGGAGTCTGACAGAACAAGAACCTGGAGGCAGCCCTAGTGATCACCAGCTGAATGCCCCAGTCACTGGGCTGCCTTTGCTCCACACGTGGAGTAAGCACGAGTCATTCATTTGAACACCACTGAGTAAGACAACAACTGAATGCTTGGATTTTGACACCAAGACTATACATAAAAGCAGTACTTCCACAGGTATTGGTACAAACTTGTGTTCTTAAATTATGTTTTATAACTATTACCCAGAGACCAGATAAATCTCCAAGTGTTCCTGACTAATTGCTTGACCACTTTAGTTTCACTATTAGTTATCCATCCATCCTTCTTTTCATGCAAATTCTGTGTATGTGCACTTGGTAAAGCTGTTACCAGTAACTGTGCTCCAGGCAAGAAGGAGAAAGCCAGACAGTGTCACTTACACAGGCAAAAAAAACCTGATTAGACGGAATGATGCTGTTATTTTATCAGACAACTTCCGACCAAGCCGGGCTCAGCCACGCAGGTCATGGGAATTATGCCTGCAGCTAGACTGGCTGAAAAAGGCACTTCATTTTTGTCCCATATCCTGAGACAAGTTTCCCAAAAAATCATGTAGATCTTGGAAAGGAAAATACATACAAACAGCATTTTAATATACTGTTTTGAACAACCTTCACAGCAGCGATTCAGTACAAGTGGAAATCCTGACAACAGCACAGCCAAGCTCTGGTAAAAACAAACACATATTCTCTACCACCCATACTACAAAACACAGGAGATTTTAGTATTTCAGTGAAAATGAAAATAAAATAATAACTGTGGGATACAACAGCTTAAATTATAGGTATTTTTCCTCTGATTACCCACACGAATCCAGGAAAACCTCATATGCTGGGTAAACCACAAGTAACTGATTATTCCCCTCTTCTCAAATCTTAACAAGCTCAGCAGTGCTTATGGTATTAGAATAGGAGCAAAAATTCCTCTTCATCCCTGAAGGATGACAGCAGCAAGCATGGATCACAAGAATGGGGTAAGCAGCTGCCATCTATGCACTCTTGTTTCACAGTGTACAACCACAATTCACTTCTAATATTAAAGGATGTTCACACACATCACTGATAGAAATATTAACTGCCTTCTACTTGTAGTAGCAAATTCTGCTCTTTGTCATCCACCTAAAGGAGATAAGATTGGACAGGAATGTCAGGGCAGAAAATTATTACAAAGGAACTGCAGAACTCACACTGCAGGCATGATTTGGCCTGCAGAACCTTAACTACCGTTGATACTCAAAGAAAGAGAAACAACTTTTCCTCACCTCAATACTAGCCTGAATTAAAGAGAATATTTTTCTTGCCCAACTTAGCACATTGATACCGAAGTTAGTTACAAATGGCACTGTGGGATTCTACACTTTAAAGGCTTAAAATAATTAACCAGCACCAACCAGCCACAGATGAAACCAATATTAAGAGGCTGGTAACAGAGAGCAGAGGTGGGGAACAAGAACCCAGCAATCTTGTCCCCAAAAAGGAACCCATGCAAAAGGTAACTACACAAAAGGTATACATACAGCTCCTAGCCAGGCCACCAGAAAGAGCTGTAGTTTCTCAGCAAGATGCTTCTGATTCTTACTTATTGTCTTTAAAACGTGAGATTCCCAACCAGAAGTTCACAGCTAAACAACTAAAGATGCACAGCACTGTATTTATTTTGTCTAGATGTTTGCCCTCCAGACTGATTAAGACAGGAAAGCACACAATTGCCCACAGAAAGGCAGAAACTGGGCCCAAGTACTCTAGTTAGCAGGTATTTTGGAACTGATGAGTCCCCCCACGCAGCCAACTGATCTTAGAAAAGCAGGAAGTTATATCCCTCACCAAGCTGCCCAAGGGTAGCATGGGACTAAACAAGATTCTTTCTAGTGTCTCTTTTTTCCCCTCCTACATCCTCTCCAACCAGTCGCGATATCAGACTTGGCTGCTGCTCACAACTTCTCCAAACAGCAGCAAATACTGTGGCAATTACCGTGCCAATTCCACTGCTAACCACGGGATTGCAAGGATGATTTCTAAACATCATTTGCTTTCTCCAGGGAGCGCTACTGACAAGAAGTCAGGAGCAGAGCTGCAGTGGCCTGTACACTCAGACAGCATTGATTCAATGCACATTAGCAATGAGTTTATCTTCAAGTACACAAGTGCTAGAAATGCATTCTATGTACACTGAAGTTTAGATTCTGGTTCAGTGACTTCTACCCCCTCAGGGAAAAAAATTTCAAGGTCTAGTCTTTCCGGGATCTAGTGAGAGGGTTTGTTTTTTTAACACCATGTGCATATTAGAATATGTGCATATCTTAAGGGAGATGGAGCTGCCTGGCTCAAGGAGCATTTCCCCTCTGGTTTTGGGACTAAATCTAGGTCGTGACAGCTACCAGAAAATGCAGGTGCCCGTCTTTAGAAGAACTTAGGAGCCACCGTAGAAGTGCATCCAATATGCAAAATAAAGTGCAGCAGTTCTAGCAGGAAGCTCAAGGATCAAATAGACACCGCCTGTGCAGGTGAGAAGTGCTATCTTTCGGCAGATCGTTATCCTTCTGGAGCACTAAACTGTCTTGATTTTGAAACAGAAACTAAAAGTAATTAAGTAATATTTCTGACACTCAACACACTGAAAAAGAATGCCAGAAGAGAGCTGTGCATTCAGGACCCTTTGCCAGCACTCTTCTTTGTGTAATTACACAGACACACTGAAAACAATCAAGCGAGAGGCTCTCAGAGTAGTTTTTGTACCAAGTCCAAGTTAGTTAGCTTAGATCAAGCCACAAATTATCCTTCCTTATCTTTTTGTGTCTGGGATAAGAAAATGTTTATCTTTTCTAATGGATCACCCACAAAGCTTTTGCGTGGAGATGTGCCATGAAACTGTGCTGCAAACACACACCATGCACGCACAACGCTGGTTTCAAAATATATTATTAAGGACCGTAAGTATTAATAGGCACGTAAACACAGCCAAGGACAAACCCAAAGCAGAGCTTCTTTAGTCCTCTGAGAACACTAGATAAAAAAAAAAAAAAGAAGAAATAAAATGAAATAAAATGAAATAAAATGAAATAAAATGAAATTAAATGAAATAAAATGAAATTAAATAAACGGGGCTTTAGCCAATCTTTGATTAGGAATCAACGCCAGGGACTTCCCTGCCTTCTTCACTCGGGACCGGACACATCGCCGGGGCAAGAGCCGCCGCAGAGACACCGACAAGTTCAGACCGTCGAAAAACGGTGAAAAATGGGCGGTTCGCGTAACGCCGCCCTCCCGCAGCCTCCTCCGCCGCTGCCCAGCGGCTGCGGGAGGTCCCGAGCCAGCAATTCCCGCCCGGGGCTGCGGGAAAGGACGGACCCGGCCGGGCGGCCTCCACTCGCGGTGCCCCTTCCGCGCCCCGGGACGGGGGCCGGGGATGGGGGGGACACCCCCCCCCCAGCCGCGCCCTCGGTCCGCCGGATCCCCCACACCGCCGCGCTTCCCCCTGGCTGCCCGCTCTCACCCATCTGCTCCCGCAGCCCCTTCAGGGAGGAGGAGGAGGAGGAGGCAGCGCAGGACGGGGGCGCCGCGCCGCCCTCCGCCATCTTCAGCGCGGGACGCGGCAGTGCCGGCGGCGCCGGGGCCGGGCCGCGCACTGCGCACGCTCCGCCCGCCCCGCGCCCGCCCCGGCGGGAGCTGCCGGTGACCCCCGAGCGCTGCCCTCAGGCCCCGCTGTGCTCGGTGGGCGTAACCGGGGGCTGAGCATCTAACCGGGATAAGTAAAGCCATATAAGTGACACCGTTAGAACTAAAGAAAAATTACAGTTATGATTAAACTATAGGATCAATAAAGAGTCCTGCGTTGGTGAGATACAGAATACGGGGTTGTTCAGAATGCTGTGTTTTGGGTATACACAACCATAGCTACCGCGCCATGTACGCTGGCGGCTTGGAATTCTCTTCAACCCTTCCCATCTTGGTCTGGGTGCCACGGGTACCGATTGGTAGAGATAAATAGAATTAACCCGTGATTGTTTTTGAATAAAGATATATGATTTACGGAACCAGTCATCGTCCGAACAGCAGTAGGGCAAGAGGGCACAGACTTAAGCTGTGCCAGGGGAGGTTTAGGTTAGACATTAGGAAGAAATTCTCTACAAAGAAAATGATCAGACATTGGAATGGGCTGCCCAGGGAAGTGGTGGATTCACCGTCCCTGGAGGTTTTTAAGAGACTGGATGTGGCATCAGTGCCATGGTCTAGTAGGTGGTATTGAGTCAAAGGTTGGACTCGATTTCGGAGGACTTTTCCAACCTAGTTGATTCTGTGATTAGCTATAAGAATAGGCTTATGTAACAGAAAATAAGTATAAAAATTAATAGAAGAATGGATTTAGATTTAATCCATGAAATAGCAGCTAATGAGCAAGCTCTAAGTGATGTCTGAGTGTCAGAGAAACAGATTAAAGTGTAGGGCTTTCAGACCTGGGGGAGGAAGTTAGCACGGCTTGGGAAGAGGGATGTACCGTTGGTAATGGACATAAAGGAATGCGGAATTTATGGGCAACCAGGACTGCCAAGATAAGGAAGAAACTAATAAAACCAACTTGGTAATTGTGCTGAAATCAGCTCCAAGCGGGTAAAAGGTGATTCTAGTAGGGGAATCTGCGACCACCGACACACAGACAGACCATCGACTCAAGAAAGCCCCTGAGCCAAAGGAAGAAACTGAGCCTGCAGACAAATTAGCATGAGAAGTGAGAGAATCATTAATGAATAGAAGTTAGAGTACTAATTAATAAGAGAAGTATGTAACTTGTAGCAAATGATCACTAATTCCTTTGTTTGCTAGAATGTATAAATAGTAAAAAATTTTGATAACTGATGTACATATTTGGTGAAGTGATACCCACATACCTCAGTGCTGAATAAAGTGATGTCAGCTTTCTAACTTAACAAACTGGTTAGAGAGTTTATTTCCCAGTTTTTGATGACAGCCCCTCACTTTAAAAAGGACATTGAGGTGCTGGTGCATGTCCAGCAAAGGGCAACAAGGCTTCTGGAAGGACTACAGAACAAGTGTGATGAGGAGTGACTGAGGGAGCTGGGAGTGTTTAGTCTTTAGGAGGCTCAGGGGGCACCTCATCACTCCCTACAACTCCCTGACAGGAGGGTGAGGTGAGCTAAATTCAGTCTCTCCTGCTGTCCTGCAGTGAGAGGACCAGAGGAAATGGCCTTAAACTGAGACGGGAGATTCAGATTAGATATCGGAAAAGCCCTGCACGTTTGGTGCCAAATTTCCCAGGTTTATATTTATAATATGTAGTAATAACATCTTGCCACTTAGCAATCTCCACATGCTTTATACACATGCTGAAATTAAATTTCACCATTCCACTGAGAGACATTCAAATGTTATCCTTGTTTTACAGATGAGAAAACTGAGTCACTGAAATCAAAGTCTCTAGTTATGTCATGAACAAAGCAACACAGCAAAAAGCCCAGCCCAGATTTCTTGATATCCTTGTTCCATATTCCTGTTTTTTTCCATCTTCCTTTCATCAGCAACTATCAGAAAATATCATCAAAATGGTTTGTATTGATTCTTAACAGAACAAAGTACACTTGATGTGGTACAAAAAAAATAGTCAAACTACCTGATAGACTGTAATTTTTATGTTTTGCAAGCTCCAGAAGTAATATGTAGTTAGGAAGATGTAAGAATAAAATGCTCATGCATGTTTTGAAGTGCATCTGCTCATGCATGTTTTGAAGTGCATCTGAATTTTTATTAGGTTACATATCTTTTCTTTAACTTGCTCTTTTCCTTAATACACTTTGCAATGAAAGAGGTCAGAGTCTATTTATCCATTTTTGTTCCTCTGAGAAAAACGAGACAATTGGCATGGGAGGAATCACTCTGCTGAAGGGAATGCTTGCAAACAGGATGGGCAACCAAAATTAATTTTCAAATGAGGTGGCATTTTCTGCTCTTTCCATTTCAACAGACACATATACGAGTGGTCTCACTGCTTGCAATTTACCACGCCTGATATTCTGCACATCAGAGTAGAAGGTATGAATTACAGGAAGGGAAATAAACCAAGTGTTGCACACTCAGGATGTTTGTGGTGGTGCAGTGGAGGTTGTAAACTTAAAATAAAAAGGCCAAGCACATACAAATTCATGAGACATAAAAGGACTCTTGAGGTAGAAGTGGGGCATTGACCCTCCCTGCTCTCCATACATCTATATACTGCTTGATAAGCATGTCTTTTATCTTTAGGCACACAGGAACTGAACTGAGAAAAATCTGTCCCAGTGTGGAAAATGTGTTATCTTTTTCTCTGATGAGCAGTTAAGGAATGTTTGAGCTAATGTTTCAGAAACTGCAAATGTAACATCCATCTTATTTCCTTTTTAACCTTGTTTCTCAGATTTTCAGTTCAGTCGTGCAATTACTGCTTTTAGTGCATTTTCAGTGGAACTTCATTAAAATTTTGACCTCGTGTGGCTTCAGCAGCACTTGCAATCGCCCTTTAATTTTGCAGCATTTGCAGATTTGATTGCAGTAGCTGATTTATTCTAATCCTTTAAAGACTGTCCTTTTTTCCATCGTCCCCATGGAAAAAATGAATAATTTAATTCTGCAGTCATTTCTTCATCCTTTTAATTTTCATGTGATAGTTTCTGACAGAGCTTTCAAAAATGTCTCAGGCCAAATCACTGATGGATGCATGTTGGCATTATGAGATGAGAATCAATAAAGCCCTGGCACTGCATGCAATGTGAAATTCCAGGAGGTTTATACTATCTATTTTAGTTTAAGGAAAACTGAAATTAGTTGAAATAACAGTAGCTGAAATTAGTCAAGTAGAAGCTTGCACATGTAATGACCCAGATGCAAAAAGAAATGCTAGCTCAGAAAATATTTACACCATTAGTAGAACTGGAGAGTGCATTAGAGGAAGAAGCAATCACCTATTAATCTATTTCTTACCCTGTTTCCCACAGTATCCAGTGTTACACAGTATTAGATGTTGCACTTGAGTGGACTTATTCTGAAATCTGTTTTTATATTCTAGTTCAAAAAAAACCATCCCCCAAATTTTCTGTGAGCCTACAGGTCATAATTGCTTTGATCATTGAAGTATCTAACTATAAAATGTTTGTGTGTATTCAACTTTATTTATGTCAGAGTCTTGCTGAGTAAGAGCTAAAACAAGACACCATGAAAATTAAATGTATCTGCACATCTATTTGTGGGATTTTGAAAAATTTTTAAAAAGTTTCTCAAAACGTTCTAAATCCAAAAGCATAAGGCCTGTGTTGTGACAGATTATAGTGGGTTTCCTGTGGTGAATGTAACTGCTGAATGAAACTCTTGGGCCAGTTCTTGTGAAAGTGACTACCTAACACTGTGTGTAAAAGCTGTGTCTCTTCAACCAAACTGAGATGCTCTGTGTTGAAGCGCTCACTGCATGTGTCATCACTGGCTATTTATTTATGCACATTCTTGTTTATTACTCTCCTGCTGGGAAAAAATACCTGCAACCCTCTGTGTTACTAATACGTCTGTACTCTAAGGACCTCATTTCTCAGTTCTGACTCAAGTTCACTTGTATTTATCTAGGTGAATAATTCCTTAGATGTAAAGTTATCAGACAATATTGCTTAATAGAAGAAATACAGAATGAAGACTTCAGTTTGTCCTTGGTTCAGTTTGTTTATTAGTTACCTGGATGATGGAGTGGAAGGCATTCCTGTAGCATTTGCGTGCACTGCTGATACGCAGACAAGCTTAGAGGACACTGCTGATAGAGGACAAGCTTAGGATTCAAAATTATCTTGAAAGTTAGAAATATTATCCAGGAGAAAAAGAGGATAAATAGGGACTGATGCAAGAAAAAACATTTAGACAAAAACAATTAAATGCAGAAAGACACGACAGAGAACAGCTTGCTAAATAGCAGATAGAGCAGAAAATAATCTGGGATGTCACAAGCTGAGCATGAGTCAACAGTGCCCTGGTATTGTGAAAAGGGAAGCACCCTGGCTGAGAGCAGGGACAGAGGGTGGGCTCTGGGACACACAGCCCCCCTCTTCTCACTCATCCCAGGACCACTGTTGGGGTGTTGCCCTAGAAGATACAGCCCATCTGTAGAACATCTAGAGGAAGTCAGCAAAAATAATGAGAATATAAATGAGGAAAGGTAAAGAATTGGGATTTATTTTTTTTTTTTTTTAGTCTGAAGAAGAGGTAAATGAAGGTTGATAATCTGCTTTCTTTGAAACAGAGAGAATAAAACACAATAGAGTTGATTTTAATCAGGGAAGGTTGTTTTATTTTAAGGAAAACATCAGGTAGGGATAGGGAAGTATAGTGAGATAGATTGTTGGAGAAGCAGTAAAGCTCCAACATGGGAGATGTGTGGTTGGATGAGTGTCAGCCCAGGAAGGCAGGTCTGATCAGAGGGCAGGAGGAAGGACTGCATGACCTCTCGAGGTCTGTTCCAGCTCTGTGTTTCTGTGATTCTAGCATTCCTGCTAGTGGGGTTTGGGATTATTGGCCAGAACAAGTATTATTCAATGCAAGGATTGCAGAACTGCCTTCTAAATTTAGACAGAGTGTTCTAAGCA